GTATAGGGCCCCATTCCTGTATTTTGCCTGGGGCCTCCAAATCACTAAATCCGCCCCTGAGCACTTCATTCTTTAGTGCACAATGCTGTTTTTCCTACAGTTTAATTGACAGTCATTTGTGGTTTAAGGATATAGATTTAGGCCCTTCTCTGATCCTCCGAGAAGACACACCACCCAGCCGTTGCCGTCGGCCTCAGGCTGTTCTGGAGATTTCTCCTGCTCCAGCAGACAGCAGTAACAGCCCACCGCTTGCTCGGGGATGCTTGAACACACACAAACATTCAATCAGTTAAGATAATACATGGTAATATTGTTCTGAATGGCAATAAGATATGATCTGGATATTTAGTTCTGCACTGAAGGATACTAAACAATAAGTAATGCAAATGTATTAATACTTCATCATTTAAATAGTACTCTTTAGCTTGCTAAATATGATGCAGTGTTATTTTAGTAGTATTTATACACTATTATTTATTTGTATATTTTGAATTAGTTTTTATTTTGATATTAAACTGTTTTTAACAGTTTAGTTTTTAGTAATTTTGCTATGTGCTTTTGTCATTTTTTGACAATTTGGCTCAAATTTATTTTTCTTTCAGTTTTAGTATTTCAACTTAAAATTACTTATTTCAGTTAGTTGCCAAAGCAACATTTCTAATTATCATTTTATAATTTTCATTTAAAAGTAGATTTTTTCATTGAACATTTTATATTTTATTACAGCTTTATTTCAATTAGCGACAACATTTTTCAAGAGTTTCAGTTTTAAAGCCCCTGCAGTCACTAATTTTTGAAACTACCTCGTTTAGTGTACGAGGAACCATGAATATGCAAATTAGTCCCGTCTACACTCAATCACTCCCACTAGGATACTGGAATAATCCAGCCATATACTGTATGTTTGAATGAGAAACTGATTCAGGAAAAGAAGATGAAGAGCGATTTATACAGGGTCGGCTACAAGTCAGTGTATCAGAATTTTATGTATTGCTCTCTACAACTTCGGATATCATTAGCTTTTGGCTTGACTATGTTATCAAACAGCTAATCGTGTGTTTCTAATGTTACACAAACCATGTTCCCCTTCGCCATCTCAAAAAGCGACCTTCTAAAAGTCAACATCCTTAGGTAGAAACGCTTTGCTAATGATACAGAAAGTCCCATCCCAGAAGCTGATGAGACTGATTACATGTTTGTGACAGTAAGAAATAGGCTGTTTCAAACCACATTTCTGATACTATCTTTGGTACACTGCAGTTTTAAAGAGAAAATGCTCAACAATGGTGAGAAAAAAGAGCACTGACAAGGGGAAAAATAGCGTTAGCCAATCAGTTATCTTTGCCCAACCCTGCATGTAAACAATGTTAAAAATGTGATTTTCACCACAGGGGGACTTTAACAATAACAACACTGATATGATGTACCTTAGCTCCACAGTGGCAATGTTCCCCATACCCCCTAGCAAAGCGCCCTTGCTCAGCCTGCGTGAGATGTAGCTTCGCAGTTCTGGCTCGGCCTCGGGTGGCAAGCTGGCGTCCAGCAGGGTGAGACTTTAAGAGTGGAAAATATGGGTTAAACTAGAATATCAACAAGGAAGGAAAAGTGAACAAGTGAACAAGATAAGCAGTCAATGAAGCAATGCTGTTCACAGAATCACCAGCGGCACTTAACAGAGATACAAACCAAAAGAAATACACAGTTTGACGTTAGACAGATTAGTTCAATGGTTATGAATGATGTGAGCAAACCAACATGATGAAAAGCCAGACGCAGAATCCTGGGTGTTTTTTTTTTTTTTTGACTGAAGCCATGATTTTTCCCCCCCATCACAACACTGAAAGCCACGGGGACTGAAATGACTGAAAGATGATCGATTGACCCTTTTTACCTAAAGTCTTCCTGACTTGTGGTTGAGTCTGATCTCCTCTGGCTCCAGGCCACACTCTCTCCAGAAGCCTCAGATCTGGGTAGTTTGATAATGCGTTTAATACTTCATAAGCATTGATATGTTAAGATCTCCCAAGGTTCTCACTGGCCTACATAGCCATGTATGGTGTTTTACAATAACTTTATACATATCAGTGTCCATATACTATGTAACTCTTCCAAAATATAGTCATATGATTTCATTGGCCTAACCCACTATTATGAACTATGCTTCAAATTAAACATATTCCTGGTTTTGAGCATGGTTTTGAGTCACGCAAGTGCAAGCTTAATTCAAATTAATTGTTAATTTTACCTCATAAACATAGAAAAATGCAAAAGACTAGCTAGACCTAACTATGCAAGCTTGCATCTCATATAATCCTAAATATGCGGTATAAAAGGGCAAATTATTCCTAAAACAACTTGCATTTTGTAAAGCATCCAGCATTTGGAAAGCCTCCTTAGCATAACGTAACCTAATGCAATGACATAGTTACATGTGGAAACCACTGTACCTTGTGTTCTGGTAGTAGTATATGGCATAGTAGCTGTTAATCTGCTGTATTTTCTGGCTGTATCCGGCGATCTCTTCGTTGTCGAAGTCTGCATCTCTTTCATCCACGTCTATGGACTCCTGGAAGGAAGAGGTCTGGGATGTAAACATGTCTCTGCAGAGCCAAAAGAAGACGAGCGACAGTGATATCTGCTACGGCTTACGGGCTATTCCAATAACTAATCAATTTCAGTCCCAAAGATGTTAATGCATTGAAGCCGCGTTAACTATTTTGTTTAAAAATCTATTTAAATGCTACGTGACATTTAACTAAAGTCAAAGTAGTGACAGCGATACCGGTACGCATGCGCTGGAATTGTGTTTAGTTAGTGAACGAATCGGTGTTTTGAATGAATCTTTTAAGTGAACGAATCGTTTGTGTTCACTCTCATGCACTGACTCATATGTTCATCCTTCTTCTTCTTCTTCTTCTTTGAGCTTATTGGCGGTTCGCATTCTTAAAAGAGCATTACCGCCATCTACTGTGGTAATGGATCAGAGACACTACTCCCCAGACCATTCAGGACTCATGCTTTCAAATATTTTCATTCTACCACCAGTCCTGGGTTTTAGGTACCATGAAAGTGGCTTGTGCTGCGTCTCAATGTGCCTTAACACAGATAATTAAATAAATATTGAATTAAGAGACTACAAAAACCCCTTTTTCTAAGCCTCTCTACCTAACCGCTGGTCGCGCACATCCGCCATGTTTGTAGTTTTTTTTTATGAACATTGACACAGGGTTGGCTTTTAGCGGCGTTCATAGCCATAGTAACTTATTTGATGTATGTTAAAGTCCGCGTGAACCGGAAGTTGCTGCCGACTTTATTTCAGTGTAGTGACGTATTTCCAGCTGAAACGGAATACTGAATAGAGGGCATGGTTTTATTTTTGCGCTCCTCCTCTCTGTCTCTCACTCATAGCAACCTAACGGTTGGAGGGGTGTGTTTAAGGATGTTCTGCCCAAGCCGTCAAACTGACGTCACCAGAGAAGGAATGCCATTCCAGAGCGGAAGTAAATGTTCAGATTTTGATTAAAGATTACCAAGACAAACAATTTTTTTCAGCGGATTAACATGCACGGATTCATTGTTCACATCATTACTAGCAATGTGCGCTAGTAAAGTAAATAAAGTCAATTTTGATTTCATGCAGACTTTAATAATGTAAGAAGTTTGAAACCAATTTATTTTTATTTGGCTACTTTTTATAGTTATGCCCAGCCAATTGGAGGGGAAATGGTTTGTTGGCATTTGTGTGCAAAACGTTTATAATATTTAAACTAAATAAATAATAATTAAATTATTAATTGTCTTTAATAAATTTGTAGACACAATCATTTTAATAAAGTACAACAAGGCTTTTTGGTGGACATTAGTGTTTGTAACGAATCGGTTAAAGTCGGCATGAAACGGAAGTTGCGATTGTCTTTTCTTCTCTACTGTGACGTATATCCGAGTGAAACGGCATCTGAAATGAGAGGGCGGGACTTGATTTCGTCCTTCGGGAATTGATTGGATCGTTGGAAGGTGGGGCGTTGCTAACAAAATGGAGGCAGATCTGAATGCCAGTTTGCAGTTAGTTAGTGGTGGGGGATTTCTCTCCACTGAAATGGCCTGGCCCCCCCATAGCGATTTAAGAATTTTACTAAATATTTATAAAGTTTTTTCTATGAAGTAAAAATGCATATAATGCAGTTAATAATACATGTAAAAGTGAATACGTAACCAAACTCAAACGTCAAACTACGCCTATGACTTAAAGCCATTTGTCAACGACAGACTTGTTAAACCTAACACAATCATCTGACATCAAGACATTAAATGTTTCTGTTTTGCATAGTTGCTCCTTTTGTACTGCAACAATCAATACACAATAATCTTTTGAGATTAAAAGCATTTTCTGAAATGATAAACAATAAACAATGTGCATAGATCATGTTTGGTCTATTTTTATGATAGACAGACAGACAGACAGACAGAGACTGGTATGCATGTGATGTAACTTTTTTTTTTCTCTCTCTCTGTTGAATTTTAAGGGACATTCTAACCTCTTATGGTGACAGAAAATAGGACCATAACCAAAAATTTATATAGACAGGGCAAAAAATAAATAAATAAACAAACAAAATTATATATATAAATGAAAATGATAAAATACAGGGGATCAAATCTCTATCTATCTATCTATCTATCTATCTATCTATCTTTATTCACAAATAAATACAAAAGTAACTAAAATTAATGGTGAATATTAGTGCATAATAAGAATTTTATAAACAGAAGTAAAAAGTTATTCAGGTCGGGTGTAGTGAGACTGGAAACAATGCGTTGCAATGAATAGTACAGGTAGAGTCTGACTACTGGATTCCAAATTGATTATAAAGGGAGAAAGGCAACAAGAAAACGCTTATGAATGCTATGTAAATATTCTCTTTGGTTCGATGAACATGTAGAGATGTTTGTGCTGTCATGAGACGCTCCAAACAAGTAGGTGGCAGCCATACAGATGACACAAGACGCAGCGTCCTGTGTTCTCGCGAGACTACATTTTTCCCTAATCGCGCCGCGCGCCCCTCTTTCTTTCTCTTTCCGCCATATTGCAGAGCTGGTAAGGTTTGATCTCTGCAATGCTTGTATAATCGGATTAAAATCACGGACATCGTTGTGTATCAACCACATTTAGACTGAAATATATGTTTATGAGCAGCCTAAACGCCAGGGTTGTGAGTCATTTGATTACTCGTGCCTGTATGAACGGATATATTGCCCCGATATCCAAAGCTGTCCAACCTCTCCAACAATCAGCAGTGTCTGTCCGTGTTACTGAGGGACAGATGGGAATAACCCGAGTCAAACCAAAGTACCCAAGCAGTCCGGTGCCTCTTTTTAACAACAAATACATGTTATTATGAAAGAGGAAGGTTTATGGTCAAGACGAACTCCGATAGCTTAATTCGCTAACTATTAAACGCAATACCAGAACGTTAATCATAGCGCATAGTTCTGGAGAAAATTGAATACAGTTTTGCCTTGTGTACGTTTTTTTCGGTTTCCAAGAAAACGTAATTTAACTTGTGTGATTTCTTTTTTTATACATCCGTTTTGTCGATATGTACCTGGCTTTAAAGTAGCGCTTGGCTCGTGACAGTGATTAGTTGAGGCTATTTAACGTATATATTAACTATATAAGAGAGAAATCACGTGTTTTTCTTCCTCCGCAGGCATCATGGTGCGCATGAACGTTCTCGCCGATGCGCTGAAAAGCATCAACAATGCAGAGAAACGGGGGAAACGCCAGGTTCTCATCAGGCCCTGCTCTAAAGTCATAGTGCGCTTTCTTACTGTGATGATGAAGCATGGTGAGTGAGTTCCTGAGCTTTTCAGTGTGCGAGTTTGACAAGAATCTGTTTACTCTGCTCTTGTTATGAAAAACATGAATTGGTCAGTCTTAAATGGATATTTCATCCAATGTTGTTCCAAACCTATACTGTTGACTACTGTTGAACCTGAAAGAAGACATTTTCAATCTCTTTGTGTGGTCTTTGCAGGTTACATTGGCGAATTTGAGATCATTGATGATCACAGAGCCGGGAAAATTGTAGTCAATCTAACAGGGAGGCTGAACAAGGTAAGTGGTTTAATAAACTTAGATGTTCACAATAAATGTCTAAAATTACACCAGAAAGTATGAGAGACGTGTACAGTGTTGTGCAGTTAGTGACCGCTAAAGAGCTTTCTTAAGCCGGATAGATCATAATCTACTATATTTGCAGTATAGATCAACCTGGGGTGCCTTTTTGCTTTTATGAAGTAGTTACTGTGGGATGAAAATATTAAGTACATTATAAAACTATTGTTGTATTACTAGTATATTTAATAGGGGTGGGAATCTTAAAGTGCATATTGCAGGTTAGAGACCCAGTGGGTCAATGTATAGAAAAATAATGTATCTAGAACTAAATTGTTTAAAATATACTTATAAATTCGCTACTTGAGGCTTCTGGAGTTGTTTTTGAGAGAACATTTTACTTGCATCTGAAAATCGCCGAAACCGGAAGTGACGTAAAGGTAGGGAGTGCGGTCAATTTAAACAATAGGAAAACAATGGATGGCAATGACAGTTCGGATGCTGAGGAAACTGTAAATGTTTATTCATACTTGTATAACGGACCACAGCCCTACAATTATGAGCCTGCTATGCGGCCAAGAGAGCAGGGACAGGCCAGCATTATTCTGATAATAATTAAAGTTTATCCGTGCCATTGATCCTGGTGACCCCAAACTCGACCACGAATAACTTTGCTAAGAGGTCTTTGTGTCCGCGCAAAGAGAGGCTATTCATTCCTTTCACTTCGCAATAATAGTAATAATAATAATAATATAGAAAAGTCAACACAGAGAGAACATACAAACTCCACACAGATGTTTTTTATTCACAATAAGCTACAGAATACGTAGAAAACTGAATCTATAGGACTAATAGCGAATCGTGCTTTGGTTCTTATTTTAGAACGACTATACATCGACTCTCTGGGTCTCTAACCTGCAATATGCACTTTAAGGCACCTCATGATTTGATCCCAAAATGATTTTTCATCTACCTTTTTTTTCTTAAGTTTACTGACTTATATCAGAGATATATCAGATTTATTTGTGCATTTTTATTAAAATAAAATGTGCAAATGCAAAGATGCACAAACAAACCTTTCAACTTTATAACATACATTTGTGATTTAAAATAAGGCACCAGACTGCTTTAGTACTTTTTAAAATAAGTCCAAGTTTGTTTGGTTTAAAATCAAATCATTAAAATAATCAAAACAATTGTATGTTAATTATAACTAGCTAAATATAGCTTCAAAACATACAAACAAATATAAACTATATTACTAGTGATATTTTTGACAGCGGCAAGTCTAATACAGGCTAAACTAGGCTGCATTCACACTAATGCACAGATCTGTTTTAACATATCAGATGTTTTGTCCTCTACTTAAAATGAAACTGACTGTTTACATTAATTTCGCATCATAAAAGCATTTTACGATGCAAGTGCATTTAACTTGGAGTTACGCACAGCTGCATGCTCTTTGGAACGAATGCACACAAAGCGCATGTGAGCATTTGAAAGCAGCCGTCTGGCATTGAGCTTTGTGTGTCCAATATGTACGGCATTCCAATGGCATAAATGATACATGATTTTGGGAAAATATTGAAACACCAAATTTCTCTCAGTGCATATCCGATGCAACGAAGCCTGTGATTGCCCGCTTCAACCATGACACGTTATACACTTAATGGATGTTGTGTGTGTTTGTGTAATTGGCAGCAAGCAGAATACTGTCTCTAGCGCACACCATTGTACATATGAGAAGGAAATAAGCTCAGAATTGTTAAAGAGAAAATCGCAATGCATTGAAGAATCTTGTTTTTCCTCCCACCCCTAATATTTAAGCAGTAAGGTAGGAGATACTGTGATTGTAGTCTCAGCTGACAGACATTTGTTAGGCGAAAGGCACAGCTGGTTTTAAAGGAGTCATTTTCATAATGACAAGCCTTGTTGAATTGGTCCTACAGGTTTTGTATCATATAAATGAGTTCCAATTGAACACATTTATTCATTTAGTAGGTGCTTTTATCCAAAAATACAACAATACAAATACAGAGTAATACAACATGCAGTTCATCAGATGGGGACAGTAACACGAGAAGTGCTAGCAATACAAAGTTTCAAACATTGTCCAGAATAGTACAAGCTAGAAAATGGTGGGATATAGGTGCACTCTGTCTTTGACTACTGATATTATATGTGCATCAAGCACTCAAACCGTTCTCTGAACAATTTCTCTGATGCAGTGTGGCGTCATCAGCCCACGGTTCGATTTGCAGTTGAAGGATCTGGAGAAGTGGCAGAACAACCTTCTCCCATCCAGACAGTTCGGGTGAGTAATTGCCAGTGTCTACCAGAAATGTTTTAAACACTGTTTTATGAACATTTAGCTATTTTTGTACTGTATTTACTTTCTGCATTCACAGTAGATACTGATGGGTTTAAAGTAGTGCTGTCAAACGATTAATCGCATCCAAAATAAAAGTTCTTGTTTACATAATATATGGGTGTATACTGTGTATATTTATTATGTATATATAAATACAAACACATGCATGCATGTATTTAAGAAAAATGTTATGTTTATATATTAAATATATTTATATATAATATAAAATTTAAGAATATAAATGTATATACATGTAAATATTTTCAAAATATATACTGTATGTGTATTTATATATACATAATAAATATACACAGTACACACACATATTATGTAAATAAAAATAATACTATGGTTTCTGCAGAAATGCTAAACCCAAATCTTTATAGGCTTAACAAAAGGGTAGATGAATAAAAATATTAAGTATGTTTAGCGTTCCCAAATGAATGAGGTCAACAGCATGTGCAGTGCTTTATGGGAGAAGGCAGAAGCTGCTCAATGCTTTTGCCATGATTGTGGTTTTTTCCCTCTCCCCATTATTGTGGGTGGTGTAGTTTTTCCACAAAGAAAACATAGCCTAGAAATTGTATATGGAGCACAGTAACTTAGTATCAGTGGCTCTTTGACCTTCATTTATTGTAACTGCAATGTCTTATCAGAGATTTAAGCTTTGTCATTTGGTGCATGTTTTGTATTCTCTTGCAGTGATCTTGAGATTAATCTTAGCTAAAATTGATATTATCTTTGTGTGTTTTTTAACAAAGGTGTTGGTTCCTCTGTCTGTCACTTCTAGTAGTAGTCGTCTTAGACGACTATAGATTAAAAGTTTTTGCCTTTTTTGGTGAGCAATTAGTGTATGAAATGTTAATTTTAGGAAATCTTTTGTTTGTCTCATTTGCCATCGAAATCCATGTTGTTGTTGAAGTTCATTATTTTATTGTAAGGGAATTGTCTTCTTGAGCAACTAAGGGTGTGTTCACACTTGTCATGTTTGGTTTGATTAAAACGAGCCCTGGTGCGATTGCTCTGTTAGTGCGGTTCGTGTGAACGCTGCCATCCGAACCCTGGTGCGCACCAAACAAGCGGACCGAGACCGCTAAAAAGATGGGTCTCAGTCCACTTCCAAATGAACTCTGGTGCGGTTCGAATGAAATATGAAAGATGCACAAACAATTCAAAAGATTAATTGTTGATGCCATGACAACAAATTGATGAAAGATGCACAAGCAACGAGGAAGTCAAGTGCCTTTTATGAGCTCTGTGTGAGTTCGCAGGTGGTGAAAATAAAATCATAAGTACACGCAGCAATGAGCGCGCTTAGTCCAGCAGACGGCATTAGATGAATTCAACTTAAAGAGGCGCTGATCAGACCGATCGGTGAATGGTTACTTTGATGTCATACCGTTTGGTCTGTGCAGCACCGCTTTAAGTCGAACACAGCTTTTGTTTGGGGTATTCGGTGAGTTCGGTCGGGATATATACGTCATTCAAGCCGACCAATCAGGTTGTGAACGTAACACTATGCCTTTAGGTTCACTGTCTTTAGGTTCGCTGTCAAAAATGCTAATGTGAACGCTTAGCGGACCAGGACCAAATGTATCATTTTCCACAAGTGTGAACGCACCCTAAAAGCAGGTTGCTAGCTCTAGCTCAACTTGTCACCTTGAGTGTCTGGCACTGTAACCAGTTGCAAAGGTTGATGAAACAGATTAATTATTGATAGTCAATTAGCTATCCAAATTTGACTTAGCATAAATTGCTGCTATATTTGTGACAAATTATCCCTTTTCATTGCTTTGTGTTTTTATTATAAAATATCTTGCAAATGTCAGCTATGTAGAACAGAAGCACCTAAGGTGAGATGCATTCAAAGGGCAGCAGCATCTTGGACAACCTGGTCATGCTTTTTGTCTCTTTATTCTCTGCAGATTCATTGTTTTGACAACCTCAGCTGGCATCATGGACCACGAGGAGGCCAGACGAAAACACACAGGAGGCAAAATCCTTGGGTTCTTTTTCTAAGACATGTAAAATCACCAACAAATAAACACAGTGGAAGACAAGTTGTATGTGTGCTTTGCTTTCTTAATGCATAACATGCTATGTGCTCATTCAGACTAGCTAAAGGAGCAAATGTAAGCAGTAGGAAACACATGATGCACACCGCCATGGAAGACTATTATTCTGCCAATTGTGTTGTGATTGAGTTTGGCTGAAAGTGTAATATTTAATTGTCAATATCGATGCTGTCATAACACAAATTACACGGCAAACAGAGAAATTATGCAGATCTAGTTGAAAAGCTTCAGTTTACAGTTCAGAGGCTTTAAAACATTCCTGCTAGAATTTTACGTTTGAGTGTTTTACGTCTGTTTGCTGGGAAAAGCATGTTTATGTGAAACAGATTGTGACAGAAGAGATGCAGTGACTTCAATCACTTGCTCAGTTTTAACTTAAGTGGCAATATTTCATGTCTGGCAACTGCAAGAGGAATGAAATGAGTGTGCTAATGAGCTTCACATTGAAATGTGCATTCCTTATTGGAGTATTCATAGCTCATCTTGACTAGACTGTGGTTTGGAGAGAGACTGTCAAAACTGAGCTTGTCTGAGAGTGGAAAAAGTCCTCTTGTACTTGGGGCATGTGAAACGATTGGCACTTGCTTCAGTGCCAGACTGAGTTTTAAAGTATCTAAAGGTGTGGGGTTTTGATGTTATGATCTATAGATATTAAACTAGACACAATAGATTTTCAGAGTTTAGGGAATTCCTGTCTTTTTCAATTGTTAGAGAAAAAAAAATCTAGAATGTTAGTGCTTATCAAGCTCATGTCGTCATTGACTTTCTGATTAATGAAAATCAAACATTAATTTAATGAGAAGACTTCATAAAAGATCATCGCTGCTTTTTGCTTGATCTTCAGCGTCATCTTAATTCTGATGAAGTATTTTGTGCCGAGTAATGTGTTGTACATTTGCTCATATCTACCAGCAGGGGGAGCTGTGCAGCTTTGTTTCTTGACGAGATCTATGCCCGAGATCCTCCAAGGTCTTGTCTAGATGGTAATCCTCATTTTGTGACATTCTCACACTGTTTCTTTGGATTTGGCGTTTGCCGTTTATTATGACCATTTAATTGAAACCAAGTACAACAACTTGACGACAAACTACAAGGTTTAACAACTAGGCTATCTCATTATCAAAAAAACAAAACAAAAGACGGTCAAATAAATCCCCATTTCTAGCACTGATATAATCAACTACACCATTAGGTAGTCAAATGATAGTCTTCCAAACAACAGCATTTTGAAGCAACAGCTAACTAAGACGACTAGAAAAATAAAATATTTGCATACTAACAATTTGGAAATCGACAAAAATACACATTATTATTATTAAGGGCCGATATTTGCCACCTTAAGCTGTTTTCCAGGTGCATTTTTTCTCTAACCTTATTAAATGTGTCATGTTTAATGTCAAATTCTTAAATGTACTTAACGTTAAATGCGTTCAGAATGATAAAACACTATGGGGTTGTTAGATTTGCATAAACTTGTGAGATTTTTTTTGTTTTTGTTTTCATTTAAATGTTTTAGTTTTGAAATGTTGTTGTATGCATTTGTCATTTTTATTTAATTTCTTTTATTTTCTTAAATGTGTGTGTATATATAGTATTTATAGAGTTTTAGCTTTTAGTTTTAATTACTTTTTCTTATTTGTAAGTCGCTTTGGATAAAAGCGTCTGCTAAATGACTAAAAGTAAAAGTAAGTAAAGTAAAGTAAGATTAACATTTTAAATATAAACAGAAATATGAATAATGACGAAAATCGATGTTAGTTTACTTTTAAAAATGAAATTAAACCGCCAGTAATTGGCGACAAGTTTCGCTGAGCAAGTCATTATTCATTCAAAAAGCTGACAATTCTGTAACGAAACACGAGTTGTGTTGCTTGGAGACGCGCAAAAGTTCTGCTATGGCTTTGTTTGGAACTATATTCATTGGCAAAATAGAGCAGAAACAGACAATATTAGCTGCGTCTCATTTGGCATTGTTTAACAAGAAAAGCTAATTTTATCAAGATAAGCTTGACAAAGGCTCAAATTTAAAAATGTAACCTCTTGTTTATTATGAAATCACCATTAGCAATCGTGTTTATATTCGGGAAAAACAGCACTTCTGCTCGTGTTTTCACCCCAAGCCCCCCGTTCAGCACAATCTCTCCCCTTATTTTTGCCTCCTTGTACTGTTGAATATGGCCTACAATGAAATCTTTGAGAGAGACAGTTTCCCTAGATTAACACTAGTGAGCAATCTTGATGTAGCATTGCTCAATAATGTAACAGGACAAGGGTTTCCATCTTGACCTGAGCTCTCGTCACTCAACATCTGTGATCCCCTGAGCATTGCCTGTTCTGTCTAGCAGTTGGATTTCTTCCTGCCGTGACAACCAGTTTACCTGAGGAGAGGAGTCAAAGGAGAGACATCACTGTTGTTTCTGTCTTTTTTCTACACCTCTCACCTGCCTTTGCTGTGAGGTCTGTTCTTCTCAGAGGAAGTTATGCTGGAAGCAAGGGCTTATTTTCTCACTTTAAGAGTATATAATTATTGTTGACTGACTTTAACTCTGAGATTTGGTGTATAGGCTTAACAACATTTGGTATTTCTGATTTACTAGGGCAGAGTAAATTGTCATCTACTTTTCTTCTTGAAAACAAGATATTTTGAGGCAAAGGTTTTGAAATCAGATATTTTGAAGAAAAAGTTTCAGCATGGCTGAATCATACCGTTTCAAAGCCACTGACTTTGTAATATGCATCAAAACCAGTTTGTATGAAATCAGCCACCCTTTCTTCCTCCTGGGCATGTATAATAACTTTTCTTTCAAGTATGGAAGCTGTACTATCAGACGTGTGTTCGCTGCTGAAGGCAGTAATCAGGTCCAGGCCATTGCCCCTGCTGGCTAAGGGCTTATTTGATGACTGTAGATGTTGGGTGTTCAGCCCCATTTGGCCGTTCGTCTTTCTGTGGGCTGATGGGTATTGCTTTGAATCTTACAGATGACACTACTGTAATGAGCAGCAGCCTGTGTGGTTGTTCCCTTGACTGGGCTCCTCTGTGATGCTTTAATGGTTTTTCACAATGCCCTGCTGATGTAAAGGTGAACGGTCCACCCAAATCACGTCAGTCACCATTTAACGCTCATAATTACATCATTAATCAAACTTAATGCTCTATGATTAAAGTGACATTTCCCTGATTAATATCCTCTGTGCATACATTAGCTACGTGATGCTAACAAAACCATACCTTATGTAGTTAAATTCTAAACCAAAGGACATGTAGCTTGAGAGTCTTTCATAAGCTAATATTTACATGAATTTAAAAGTTTGCTCATGCTATTAACATAGAGAATGAAGCCTTCATATGTTTCAAGGAAGTTAGTTGCCTCTCCTACGTGAGATCCCTTAAAGAAATTCATAGCACTCTTCATTCTGCCTGTAAATGAACCCCAAAATATCAGTCAGTTTGCTTAAACATTCATCTTAAGGCTCTTTCACTTATGAAAAAGCGAAACTAATCACCTATGAATAGTCTATTCACATCAAGTGCCAAAGAATATGTAAAGTTCTTTATTTTATTTTTAAACTTTTATAGTTATTCAAAAGAAGTCATATTACATATACTATATACAATAAACAATAAGTTATAGAACAATATAATTTTTTCATCATAACTATTCTATTCACTTAAATAAAGCATTAAAAAAATCAGTATAAAAAGCATTAAAATATACTTTTTAAACTATTTTCATACAGTCAACATATACTATACTAGACATTTAAATGCAATAATATGCCATAGTACCAAATAGTTTTTTAAAGACTGTATTATTATAATCATTATAATTCTATTAGTAGTGCCTCATCATGCGCCTTCTGAAGTTTTTCAGCTTATAATCACTGGCCAAACGTCATATACGAATAACTATATGGATGGATGGTAAAATAACTCATTTGCAGAGTAGGGGATGAAACTCTTCATATTCCATATTTCAAATGACTATGTATTAGTAACATGTAATCTTATGCATGATACTGTTTAGGTGCATTGTGGTATGTCTTGTCGCTTTGATCCCTATAGAACAGAAATTATATGAGGACTCAGTGTGGTGGATTTTCAAGGAAACCCCAGAAAAAGGAAAAGATTGTAGACAGACAGAGCCTGCTGACAGTGACAACACAACTAGTAATTAGAACGATGCAACAGAGAGTGAGACACAGAAAGTGGCGGGCAGCCTGGGGCTTGAGCACAAACAGGCACTGTAAATAGAGGCCTCCGCTGTAGCGCTCACTCCATCTCAGACTTCCTAATAGGTGCTTTTCAGCAGCAGTGTAGAACTTATCAAGAAAATTGATCAAAACTCAGAATCAAGGAAACAAGAAACTGGCATGAAAAAAATTTAAGCTGTCGGCAAAACACTAATTTGGAACCTTGTTGCCTTGCCTGACACCTTCATTGTAGAACCTGACCAGATTCCACTATTCACTTCTGAGTCCTAAAATGGGAGAAGAGGTTTAAGAAGGCCACAGACTGAATCATGGTGAATGCAGCTTTTCTTTTTCACAATTTATCATTTTCTTATCACTGTATAGAAATAAATACTCTTCAATCACATGCTTTGTTGTGATTGTATTGTGACATTCGAGTGTAGTGGATTATCAGAAAAAATGTAGTGCAGTCTCTTGATTCTGTTTTCCAGCTGTTGATCGGAGGAAGTCAGATCTGAATACAAAATTGTAGTCAGTTGTAAGAAAGGGGAAGAATTTATGTTGGTGAAATGATTGGAGAAGTCTGGCATACAGTACGTCACCAAGGAGAGTAGTCTGTCATTTCACAGAAAGACATTTGGATTAAAATGTACAAGCTCAAAATTTAAAAAAACAAAAAAAACATGCATGATGAATCATTTACATTAAGACCAATAACATGCATTTAGAAAATAGATAGAGCGGATTTTAATTTCATGCCGACTTTGAGTACTTGATTCCACCAAAATTAAAGT